CCAGGACTCTTTCTAGAGCTGGCCGGCCATCTATGCTGAGTGATCAAGGGAGAAGGGCCTTAATCAGGGAGGTGCATCAATAACCCTATGGTCACTCTGTCTGAACTCCAGCGTTCTTCTGTAGAGACAGGTGAACTTTAAAGAAGGACAACCATCTGTGCAGCAATCCACCAATCAGGCCTGTATGGTAGTTTGGCCAGACGGATGCCATTCCCTGCTTGGAATTAGCCAAAAGGCATCTGAAGGACTCTCAGACCATAAGAAACAAAATTCTCTGGTCTGATGAAACTAAATTGAACTCTTTGGCGTGAATGTCAGGCATTATGTTTGGAGAATACCAAGCACCGCTCATCACCGGATGCTGACTTGAGCACTGATCTCGCTCTGGAATTCCCAGAACTCATTGCAACTGGAGGTGGGAAGCACAGCATTTTATCTCGATTTATTATTAAAGTTCAGAGATCTAATATGACCCAAAGCACGCTGCCAAAATATCAATGGAGTGGCTTCACAACAGCTCTGTGAATATCCTTGACAGTCCCAGCCAGAGCCTAGACCTAAATCCTACTGAACATCTCTGGAGAGATCTGAAAATGGATGTACAGTACAGCGCCTCTTCCCTTCTGACCTGATAGAGCTTAAGAGGTACTGCAAATAGGAATGGGCAAAAATTTCCAAAGACAGGTGTGCCAAGGTTGCATATTAAAAATGATTTGATACATGTTAAAGGCTGTAATTGCTGTCAAATGTGAATCAACAAAGTATTGAGCAAAGGCTGTGAATACTTATGTAAATGTGATTTCTTAGGTTTTCTATTTTTGATAAATTTGCAAAATTTTTCAAAAATTGTTTTCACATTGTCATTATGTGTAGTATTTTGAGGAAATAAATGCATGTTATCCATTTTGGAAAAAGGCTGTAACATAAAAAAAAAATAAAAACGTGGAAAATGTGAAGCGCTATGAATACTTTCTGGATGCACTTTATATAGTTGGAATTGGTGGTCAAGCAGTACATTTACAAGTTTACTATAAGTACATACTGTAGATGTTATATTTTTACTGCTTACTCAAATTACTTGTTTAAAATGAGCTAAATAAACATAATTCTTAAGTTTTGGATGTGGGTGGTGTTAACTTAATTGTTTTATGTTAAATCCACTTACATTTGCATAAAGGACAAAATTAAGAAATTGTGTAGAACCTTGCATTTTAATCTTACACTTTAAAAAATGCTGGGTTCCACACAATCGAGTTGTGTTGGGATAAAATGCAGGAATAAAGTTAACTTATTAGTTTTCATTCATTTTCTTGTCGGCTTAGTCCCTTTATTAATCCGGGGTCTCTACAGCGGAATGAACCGCCAACTTATAAAGCAAGTTTTTACACAGCAAATGCCCTTCCAGCTGCAACCCATCTCTGGGAAACATCCACACACACTCATACACTATTAACAATTTAGCCTACCCAATTCACCTGTACCGCATGTCTTTGGACTGTGGGGGAAACCAGAGCACCCGGAGGAAATCCACGCAAAGGCAGGGAGAACATGCAAACTCCACACAGAAACACCAACTCAGCCGAGGTTCGAACCAGCAACCTTCTTGCTGTGAGGCGACAGCACTACCTACTGCGCCACTACCTCACCACTTTTTTGTTTTTACAAATGTAATTAAAATTGAACATAAACAATTACTTTCAACTCATGTTTGTGTTGTGAATTGTGTTTCAGCTCATTTTTCAACTTCATTTCTTTGAATGTACAATTTGAATGTACGTTTCTTTAAATGTGCAATGATTACTACTACTAATATACTTCAACATTACTTAGGTATACTTTGTAAAATTAACTTGAAGTATGTTACTTTTTTTCGTAAAGGTTTCTGCAAGCTGAGCAATCACTTTAGCTTTTTTTTATCTTCAGAGTAAATAAATTGTGCCTCAAAGTGGAAGACGACACTAAAAATCACTGCTGGGTTATCTTGCATTTGAAAGCAGTGACAGAAGTTAGTGGAAAAAAAACATGTGCCTCGAGGAGGTAACTATTTAAAATCCTTTTGAAGAAGGCCCTTTGCTCTGGTGTTTGCAGAACAGGTGTTGGCATTTTAGATGGGACCAGTTAGTTTGTTAATCTAATTATCAAACCACAGCATCTGTTGAGAGGGAAAAATCATCTGACTTTTTTTGAAGAAAGAACTCAGGAGACCACGAGAACAGAGAACGGGTCCTTTGAGAAATGACATGCTGCGTTCTTCCTGATGGTCACATGACCTTCACACGTTTTAAATGGTAAATTATTTAAACATTACAGCATTCATACAATGGTTTATTGTTTTCCCACCTTTTTAAAATATATACTTTGCATAAAAACATTATCAATATACTCTGCACAATATAAATAAAACAGATTTTTATACGAATTTCAGCAAACAAACACCCTTAATGTGTTTATTCCTTTATTAAGATGCCCATGGTAAAGTTTACTTTCAGTGTTTCATTCAGGGAAACTCCTGAGGTAAATAAGTTAAATCTCTGAACTTTAATAATAAATCGAGATAAAATGCTGTGCTTCCCACCTCCAGTTGCAATGAGTTCTGGGAATTCCAGAGCGAGATCAGTGCTCAAGTCAGCATCCGGTAAGTTTCAAGCACCCTCTGTTGAGTATTGGAACTGAACTTTGGCAGCTGATGATGACGTTACACGAGAACAAGAGGAAGCAAGACCGCTGAAGAACACATATTCAGAAACAGCCACAGTCCTGGAGAGCTGACGTCCTGCAGATTTTAGCTCCAACTTGCCTCAACACACCTGCACGGATGATTCTAGAAAGCCTAGTATGAGATTGATTAGCTAGCCCAGGTGCGTCCAATTGGGATTGGAACTAAACTTTGCAGGACACCGGCCCTCCAGGACCGAGTATGGGCACCCCTGGTTTAGATGCATGTCACTGATAAGAAGATGATGGATAATTACTGTATGATGACCGAAATGGCCTTAAACACCCAGCAGGCACAAGACGTCAACATGCTGTCAGATTGAAATTGTACCCTAATGTCATGGAGACGCTACATTTTGTTTGAAAATGAAAATGTGTTTACATCAGAACTCAACGTCAGCCCAATGTCACTGTCCAACGTCCAACCTAAAACTAACCAAATATCAACGTCTAATGATGTTACAGCTAGTTGTTGTGTCGACGTTACCACCATGACATCTATCAGATGTTGAATTTTGGTTGCCATAACTGATGAATAAATGTCAGTATTTGATATCAATAGGATGTTGGTTTAAGATGTTGGCTCGACATTGGATTTTGGTCACTTTCTAACAACCTAAAATCAACCAAACATCAAAGTCATTAAATGTCATTATTGAACATCAAAATAACGTTGTCCTTAGACGCTGGCTAGACATTGAATTTTGGTCAACTGACATCACAACCTAAATCTAACCTAATATTAACATCTTATGACATTGTGTGCCTTCTGGGCAATAACTAAATGCACTACAGAATGTTATGTTTACACACATCGACAAATTACATGTCAATGCATAACCTTATAACAGCATAATACTCACTACTCACTACTCATGAGTACTTTTAAAAGGACTACTTTTTACTCATACTTTAAGTAATATTTACAATAGGTACTTTTATTCTACACACACTACATTTTTAGGCAAGTAATGGTACTTTTACTTAAGTATGCTTTTTCAGTACTCCTTCCACCACCGTTCATTCGTGCAACAACTTTAGTCATAAGGTAAACGCAAAACAAAAGTTTCTATATAGAGTTACTTCACGGGACTTGACACTTGTAAACACTCACTCCAATTGGTTCACATGACTCTCGGTCAATCATAGAACTTGTGCTATGCATCGTTGCGATGTGTAGTTCCATTTTTTGAGAGGTGCGCATCAACATTGGCGCCAGACCATATGCATGTGTTTGACGCAAATTTATAAATCAGCCTTTAGAATTAGAGAGAAAGTCCATTTATAGTCGTGACCTTTCCAAGTATTGTCAAAACCATTATTTTCATTCTAGGGGTAATTTGCCGGTTTAAAAATGAGCATATAAAACCTTATCTGAAAAATAAATAAACTTACAGCCACATACTAACATATTAAATCAATGCACTCTATGGCACCTTTTAAACTATTAAAATTATATTTATGCATCTGTCAATTTTATCCAAAGTACATTACACTGCATTGAAGGTTCAAATTTGTGTCAAAAATTCTTGTTTTCTGTGGGAATCAAACCCATCATTTCGCTGTTGCTTGTGCTACGCATTACTATTTGAGCAAGAGATCTTATTTCAATTATTTGATTTAAATAATAATAATTGATATAATGCAAGTCTATTTCTGCTGTTTTATTGTTTAAAATACCAAAGCCAGCAACATCTGCAAAAAGTCACGTTTAAGCCTACCCTGAGGCATGTGTGAAAATTCTTTTAACCTACTTGTCCCAAGGTGATTATTTAGTGCACACAGGTGCACAAAAAGTTATTATTTTTGTCACACAGGTGTTCAATCAGAATTAGCAAAAATGTATTTAGCTTTTCTTTTTTTTTTCTTTCTTTTTGCTTTCTTTCTTTATTTATGTATTTTTTTTGTTATTAAAATTAAATATTTCTGTGAAATTATAAACTTAATAATAATTAACTTAATAAACTTATAATAATAATTAATAATAAATAAATAATAAACTTAATAATTGGTTTTATTTGGTAAATTGGTAAAAACAATGTTAAATGACACTTGATTTGTTAATTTAAGTATAATTCTCTTATATAATTAATGTCAATGATCACAGAGTCACGTTGCATTGTGTGGGCTGAGTTATTTGGTACTTTTTCTGCTATAGGGGTTGTTGCTTTGTGTGAGTGTGTACGTGATCAAGTACTGCTTGTGCGTACATACATAATGAACAGGGTGGAGCAAATTCCACAAAAGCTGACCTTATCAGTCTCCGGGCCCATATAAAAGCCAATTGTTATAATCATGTCCATGTCAGTTCTACATAATAACAGCACAACACACAGCTGAAGGACAAATAAGTTTAGTCAAGTTTAAGGTAAGATGATTTTTTTTTTTCTGGTCACACTTTACAATAAGGTTCATTATTAATGTTAATTAATGCATTTACTCACATGAACAAACATTAAACAATACATTTACTACTGTTTTTGTTCATGTTAGTTAACGTTAGTTAATGAAAATACAGTAGTTCATTGTAAGTTCATGTTACCTCATGGTGCATTAACTAATATTAACAAGCATGTACTTGGATGTTAATATTGCATTAGTAAATGTTCAATTATGATTAATAAATGCTTTACATGTGTTTTTCATGATTTGTTCATGTTATTAAATGCCTTAATGAACCCTATTGTAAAGTGTTACCTTTTTTTTCTTTTATTACACAAGAACAAAGATGATACAGTAATGCATCATCATAAGGTATGGAGTGCATCGATAACAAGGAGGACCACTGAAAAAAATAAGGTTTATTACCATTTTAAAAATTTAATAAACTGGAAATTGTATTAGTGTCTTATCATAAATGCATACTTTGCATTAGTTATTTATTTGCTATTATTTTTTTAACTACATAGGTAAAGAATGATGCTGGTATTTGTGGTTTTACATTTATGGTTATTGAATTACTCTCTAGTGACTGCATAATCCTTGCAGAGTAATGCAAATGCATTGATTTTGGAAAATTAGCTTTCCATCTGCATAGCTTGTCATGTGCATACTTATGACTCTATGGAATGCCGGGAAGAAGAAAGATGCATGTTAAGTAGTTGAATGAATGACTTTGCTACCAACAAAATGTATTTGTCACATTGACAGTTCAGTCATCAAATAAAAGAAAATATCAGCTGTGTGATTTTGATATACATCCTGATAAACGTACAGTTAGATTTTCAACAGTATAAAAAAGTATTAGCTTAATTTTGTTCCCCCAATGTAACGTGCATGTATAAACAGCTTTTTTGCAATGTGTTTCTCAGATGCCATACCCTCAATCAGGCTATGAATATCTAATTTGACCAAAAGACAGGTATGTATAAAATGCATTTGTGCATCAAAATGAATTACATAAAGTCTATAATTAATTACTTGACAAAATGTAAGGTAGTCCATGCATTTTGTATGTGTAGTATATAGCATAACAGTGTTTTATTATTATTATTATTATTGTTGTTATTTGGTTGTTTTTAGTGTCTGAAGCAAAAAGAGAGATATAATTTGTATTTGCTGATCAATGTCATCTTTGACATTATAGCTAATAAACGAACAAACATCCGAACAAAATGTCTTTACATCGGAAAAATGTTCCAGACCCAGGGCCCCTTACTACTAAAATAGGTGAGAATCATATTTCAGCAACCAACATCCCATTGTTAAACCTTCTCAGAAATTGTAAATAAAATAACTTCTATTGCTTATTTTAAAAAAAATATAGTGATATTACTAAAACACTAACACACTGGATTCATTCCTCCCACATCTCTCCCCTAGTGTCTGAAATTGACAGGGACAAGCATATTTTACTGTATATGCTGGACCTGCACAGGGAAAAGGTGGCACCTCTGGATCTGACAACAATGCTTTATGAAATCACTCCAAGCACTGAAGACAACATTCCACAGGACCCAACAGAGCTCTCAAAGTCATTCCTCCGTCGACTGTGGCTTTCTAATCCCCAAGCCCGTAGCACTTGCTGCAAGGTTGTAGTAGGAGAGTACGGTTTGGACATGGATGAAAATTCACAATGTGCTATCAATCCTTTAGATCTTGTTACCGTCATCTACATGACCACAAATAGTTTCCTACAGCAAGAAATAGCCCAACGAATGTTGCAGTCCAACTTTGCAGTACCTCTGTATCTTCCACCTATTCACCCAGAAAAGAAGGGAACCATCCTCTTGAGTCCATTTAGAGGTGTTCTCGGAGAGTGGAAGTCCCCTTCTGAGGGACCTACAATGAAAAACATGGCAAATTCCAGGATGCCATTTCTCTCTGCAGTAAGGCTAGGCAGCTGCAGTGTCTCAAAATCTCGAGTACTCAACCATGTTCTTGGTGGACCACACAAACTAAACGAGTCCTTCATAAACTGTGGTATGAAAGGAGGGGAGCTGCCTCGAGTTCTCTCAGATGGTCTGGTGGAGGTATGTTGGAACTTGCCATCAGGAGACCATCATGAAAGCGCCTTTTCTCGCCCTGTGCTTGTAGCTAATCTGCGTGGTGATGCAGCTAACTATGAAAAACAGATGAGTCTTCTGTGTTACACATCTGCAGTCCTTATTGTTTTTTGTGAAAGTTTTGGTGCCGAGGAAAGAGAATTGCTTGTCTCATGGAGAAATATTACTAGCCACATGATTATAATTGACAGCTCAACATCAGTAAATGATGGACAGCAGAATGATAATGAGAAAATGAAACACAGATTGGTGAGGGATTTAGAACTGCCTGAAGGGACAGTGCTTTATGGATGGGAAGGTAATGAGGATGAAATTGCTAAAAGTTTAAGAGATGTTCTGAATCGTTTTATTCCATACCTGCACACCTCAAGCCTTGTAGGTACTGCTGGCATGGCCGATGACCTCGACATTAATGTTGATGAAGATGAGATCTGTCGAACGGCATTCGGTGAAGTTGAAGAAGTCCTCAGTGGAATCGAAGATGGAGTGTCTACCTATTTGGAAAACCAACTGCCCCTACAGGGTGATGTATGGAAACAATTGTGTCATGTGGAGAAAGTGGAAGCACGTCAACAGCAACATGCAAATCAGAACTTAATTGAGGAAAAGGAAAATCTCATAAAACAAATTCTTGAATATAAATTAACAACAGCCATGAAAGCTTTTATTGAAGCAGTCTGTTCACCTGAAACAAATAAGAGGGCATATTTCCTCTCTTGGATGAGGGTGAAACTTGAAGTTATGCAGTTGGAAAAGCTGTCCCTTCTTAGGGAAACAAATCAGGAACAAATTCAAGAACCCTGCATTGGACTTGAGCATTTTCTTAGAGAGATGGGACTGGTCTACGAACGATACTTCCGTAGTCCGAACAGTGACTTGTATGACATGTTCCGCTTACCATATGTAGGTGCTGAATTACTCCTGTATGGAGTTCCCCTTGAGCTCTATGATGGAAATGCCTCAGTATTTCCCCTGAACTGGGTGTACAGTGTTCTTTACGAATTATACAGGCAACTGCCAAACTTCAGTCGGATGAGAGTCTTGACAGTCTTAGGTTTTCACAACTCCAAGAATGCAGAGATTGTATCTTCACTGTTTGGTGTCAACTTCCCAAAGTGGGGTAGAAGGCAAATCAAAGGAGCATACATGCTTCTCCTCAGCCTGCCAGACCACTTCAGAATAAAAATGGACTGTGAATTTCTGATGGTGATTTGCACCGAAGGTTTGAACCATCCAACAGAGCGAAATTTTTTGCATGACAGTGAAATGGCTGCCTTTGTCAGTGGACTGAGTGACATCACACTAGTAAATTTACCAGATGCGGGTCAGGATGAAACAAGACGCAACCTTCAGATTGCAGTCAATGCTCTTATTTTCACACAAACATTGGAGAAGAAGGCTACCTTTCATGTTATGTCTGAAGGAGCTGGAAAGGATGGACAAATCATGAGATATGCAATTGATGTACTGACTAAAGGAGGGCTTCTAAATATGTCTCAAAGAGAAACAGTTCTCACAAGTGAAACAGGAGACCTATGCCATAAATTGTCACCTGGGACTTCCCAAAATGATCAAGTATACAGTGATGCAGTTCTCAAGCTAAAGAAAAACCTTTTGACTATTTTCCATGAAAAGGCAACAAATGGTCTGCCTACCTGTCTGGGTGCATTTATGGAGCTTATGTGCAATTTGTGGGAGTTAGTGAAAAGTGGAAATTTTGCTATGAAGTTTGGTGACACAGGAGAAGCAGATCCCATCATTGGCCTCTGCACAAAACTTGTACAGGGAGAAAAGCACCTCAGTGATCAACTGGACCATTGGGTCGAAGGATTGGAAAATCACATAACAGAGTTAAAAGAAAATGAACAGAATTTGGATTCAGATGCAATTATTGGAATCTTGAAAAATGAAGCAGCTAGCCAAATCAGCGTAGAAAGAGACCACATTAAGGCAAGCCTGTGGGACTACCTTAGGCAGGAGGATATTGATATTTCCCTAGTGGAAAATTACAAAGTAAACCTTCTAAAAACAGTAGATGTCATTCAAGAGCAATTGGCATCTGATGTTGGCCAGAAACTTGAGTCTGCAACCCTTCGCCATGATATGTCGATTAAGATGCAAGCTTTGTTGACATCCCTTGAGGCAGCCTTGGAGGTAAAGTTACGTTCACTCTTGCAGACCTGCAAGAACAACAACTGCTTAATTGAAGACAAGGAGCTTGAACGTGAATTTGCTAGTGTTTGGGAAGATATTCCATCCAACTTGAGGGAACCCCTTCTTGAAACACAAGAAGTCCTTACAAGGATGGTGGATCAATTAAAGGAAAATTTAAGTGGACGTGGTCTGAGAAATCAAAACATCACACTCCACAATGCAAACCAGCTCAATGGGTTTGAGGTGAGGACTGCACATTTTGCTCTGAGTAGTAGAATGAAGAATTCACTGAAGTACAATAGAAATGTGGCACAAAGATTTGCCAATAATTTGATTGAAGACTGTGATGTGAGAATCTCAGATAAACTGAAGCACAAAGAGAGCTACTCTGATAGCTATATGAGTGAGTTGCTTGCAATTGTCGACAAGGGTCTAGAGGTTTTAAAAAGTGAGAAATTTGCAATGAGTCCCAAATTTGAAGTGGATATCAAAGGATACATCTGTAGTAAAGCAGCACGGTCTTTTCAAGAGGTGCAGGATGAGCTGCTCGGGGAAAGACAAATTAAAGAGACTTTCCTTACTGAGACCAAGGACAGACACATGCAGAATTTTATACATCAGTTCCGAAAGAGGTACCAGTGTCAAAAAGCTGCTCGATCTTTCACCAATCTGTGCCTCAAGCCAACTGCCGAAGATTTCATTTACAGCAGCTTGGAGAGACAGATATTTTATGATATGCTTAGTAAGAAAAATGCACATCATTTTAGCTCACCAAAGAAGTTCCACTACAGTCTTCTTAAAGAAATGCTGGTAAAGGACAGCTTTGAGAATTTCCATGAGTACCTTAAGTCCCATGAGACCTACAGCCAGAAGAGTATTGATAATTTTATCAAAGCTCATTTGTCAGGTTCTGTTATGATAGAAGACCAAAGGGAACAGCGAATGCACCAGATCTTTGACTGGGTGAAGAGGTGCATTACTCAGTTGTCTGAATTTAATAGTGGGGCACAAATCAATGTTAGAACACTACTGGAAAAAGTTTGCATCAACCTCGAGAGTCTGGGAAAAATAACTATGCCAACTCAAATCTTGCAGCAACCTTTGTTTGACATAAATACACACCCTGAGCACTTCCTTGGAAGCCTTCAGGATTCAGTCTCTGAGTTGACCTCGTCAATAGCTAAGGAATTTTTGGAGAATGAGGATGTCATTGAAGTCCCTGATAACCTCCCCAGTAAACTCCAGGACATGGTGTATGAAAGTGTGAAGGGTTGTAATAAGTTCTGTCCTTTCTGCAAAGCTCCATGTGACCTAGATGAAAAAGATCATCAAGTGCACAAAGCTGCTGTGCATCGCCCTAAAGGTCTGGTCTGTTATACTGATGCCAACTCCACAACACTGTCCCACAACACCTGCTCAGCAGATATTACAGGGCCAAACCAGTTTCAAAACAAAGACACAGGGGGCAAGTCTCTGCCCTTTAAGGAGTACCAGTCCATCTATCCAGATTGGAGCATTTACCCAGAAGACCCTGGTAATAATGGGGCTGCCGCCTACTGGAGATACGTGTTCATGAGGTACAATGATAGGTTTGCTCAGGAATATCTTTGTGCACCTGCAAAATTGCCTGAAGCATGGGGGAAAATTACTCAGAATGAGGCACTAGAGAGCCTGAGAGAGGCCTTTCAGATTATAGACTGATTATGTCCTTTACCAGCATTATTATATCTGTGACCAGATTTTTTATTATTATTTTTATACTGAAGCAAAAAAGGCTGCTTATACTACTATATAACTTTTCATTGAATAAAACAGAAAGGTGAAATTCTGATTCATCACTTCAAAGTTGAGATAAGGATTAATGAACTCTTTCTGGTCATGTTGCATCTTCTAGTAGGTTTACTTATTTGTATTTTTAAAATGTTTATTGTAAAAAAACAAGTTAAATATAATTCTCATTATATTTCGACAATCTCTGCCTAGATGTATGACAGTATGGTACTCCCCCAATACAAATTTTGCTCTTATATATAAAGTATTTTACCAATTAAATGATTTTAAAATCTGCTTTGTTTGCTCTTACTTCTTTCTCTTTCAAATTCATATTAACATTATGTTCATTCATTAATTTTTTATTATTTTTTTGGGCTTAGTCCCTTTATTTAATCTGGGGTCGCCACAGTGAAATGAACCACCCACTTATCCAGCATATGTTTTACACAGCAGATGCCCTTCCCACCACAACCAATCACTGGGAAACACCCATACACACTCATTCACACACATACATTGCGGAAAATGTAGCCTACCCAATTCACCTGTACTGCATGTCTTTGGATTGTGGGGGAAACCAGAGCACCCGGAGGAAATACGAACACGGGAGAACATGCAAACTCCACACAAAAACAAACACCAACTGACCCAGCCAAGGCTCGAACCAGCGACTGTTTTGCTGTGAGGCAAGCTTTAAATTGTAGATTTCCACAACATATTTTTAAAAGTAAAAAAATAAAATAAAATAAAATGAAAAATTAAGAATATTCTAAACATAATTTCTAAAAGGGTAAAAGCAGGCATGCTTAATATTTAAGACTCCTATAACTTTTTTAACAATGCAAATTTTTTAGGTCATTTTAATCTAAAACATTCACTGATTATTGATCAAACAATTTCTTGGGCAAAGAAGTTCCTTCTTCAACTGGTCCCTTTTGTCTTTTTAAAGTATAGGAGTTCAAATTTCATTAAACTTACATATATGTTATTTATATTTGTGAATATAGAAAAGCAATTAAGGACTTACTGCACCTGTCAAACAATCAATTCTATGTGTAGATCAAAAAATGACAAACAATGAAGTAACTAGAGACAAAAAGGTGTATGCTTAAAAAATAAATAAATAAATAAATAAAACATGGAAAATATTATAGCTAGGCAATGACCATGGACAATGCTATGATGAAACGCTAAAACTTTTGAAAATGAGAGCCATCTTGATTTGGAGTGACATGACCAAACCATACCAAGCATTAATAACTATAAATGTTATTAATAGGAATTCCTACTGCTGTTTTTACTCTTTTACAAATTATACACTCTTCACAAGTCATCTGTTTAAAAAAAAAATAATAATGTCCTATGATGCTAAACCACTAGCTGAACACAATGGTATTTTTAATGTATTGTTTATGCAAAAAGTTGTTTATATTGCAATAATTTATTGTGTACAATAATACATATATTAGCCTACACATACCATTAATATGCCTGTTTCTTATATTTGTGTCTATTTACCATAGTCCTTCTCCCCCTAATCTGAAATAAACGTTCAAATAAACGTTAAAAACGTCTAAAGTAAATGAAAATGCATCCACACCAATCGAATATCCACAAATTGATCAAAATGATTACATCCTACATCTCTAGACGATTAAAACATTACCAGCAGTTGAGTCATTCCACCACAAGAGGTCAGAATAATCATGTATTATTCATAGCGCGTTCACCCACAAAGGATCTGCGTTCCACATACAGGCCATTAAACTGCAGTGGCGCCCCCAGAAAATTTTCTTAGGGGTGGCCAGAAGAGGCCGCACCAAATCTTGGGGTGGCACACAAAAAAAAATAATGAATTCAGTGTAATGTTATATTTTTGTTTCTGGTAAATGAAATAATGTAGTTTTTATTCATTTAATTAATTCTACTTGAAATATTGCAATTTATTCTTTGAAATAATTCAGCAAGTACATGTGCAAACCAAATAAAAATCTATGTTCATTTTAAAAACACTTTTCATATACTGTATAAATAACTTCTTTTTTTACGTGCCTTTATTGTACATCATACGAGATATGCCATGTCTAAAATTAATGAAGATTAATGAGTTTATTATTCCCAGAGATGGGTTGCAGCTGGAAGGTCATCCGCTGTGTAAAAATGTGCTAGATAAGTTGGCAGTTCATTCTGCTGTGGTGACCCTGGATTAATAAAGGGACTAAGCCGAAAAGAAAATGAATAAAAGAATAATGAGTTTATTAATTACCCAAACAAATGAACAAACTGAACAAAAGACATTACTATACACACTCACTATACCTAATAATATTATTTATCCATATTGCTTTTTGAACCATTTTATTAATGCAGCTTCTTCTATTGATATACTGTAGCTTAAGGTAAATATTAAATAGCCATTGCTGTCTATTGAAGGTGTGTGCGTGCTGTCAACAACGATCAGGGAGGGTAGTGGCGGTTCTAGTTTAAATGACACCCTGGGCGAACCACCCTATACACCCCCACCTCTCTTGAATTGTTAGATTTGTTATTCAATAAATATAACTATTTATATATATTTATTCTAAATAAATACAATTAATATTGATATACAATTATTATTCTAAATAAATAACAGAAATCAGTCCTAAATATTACTGGAAAACAACAACTGGAGTGATATGCCAACATCACTTAAGAAACCTTTTGCATGAAAATTAATTATGACAATTCTAAAGAATACAAAAAATGTATTATAGAATTATCTGTGATCTTAGACCAGATCATGGCTGAGAAATCATGTTATGAAGTCTTACCTCCCTGACTCATTATCCCTCCTTTCTGCTTTAAAGGCATGCTTAGTGAAAGTAACATCATCATCATATTATATAAACTTTAAACGACTTTCAAAACTCGCTGCGTGCCGACACCTCTGCACAAAAGGCTGTTACTCTGGTTTCACGGCGCATGAGCGGTGCCTATTATGTCGGCGTGCATGCAAACAACCAACCGGGATTCTATGGCAAGCCCAAGAGCTCATAAAAACACTATTAATCAATCGCGTTTACAATTAAAACGCCGCATTAAACGGCGCTAATACCATTTCAAACGCCGCTAAAAACGCCGTTCTGATTGCAAACGCCGCAAATAACGCGCGTAAACCTGTAAAAAACGCCGTTTTTAACGCCGTTTTAGTGTTAGTAAAAAGCGCGGCTTATAACGCGATCCGCTTGCCACAAAACGCCGTTTAAAACGCCGTTTTAACCCCACTGAAACGCGCGTTATAAACGGCGCTTTCCTGAAGTATAATGAGCCACGCCCGCTGATTTCCACAGCCAGTAAGCTTGAGCTGCTCTCACCCAATCAAGGATGAACACAACCAGACAAGACTAGTTCACCACTGATCGTGGCGGAATAAGTGACTCTGAACTGATAGCAAATGCTTATTAACAAAGTACCTTTTACCATAGAGCGATTCCACGTCTTTATGCTTGTAAATGTTCATTTTAGATAGATGGCATCAGCAGAAATGTATTTTTGGAAGTGCCTTGGCAAAAGTGAGCGGGCATGTTATTGTAACCCTTATTTATGGCTGTTTACAGACCATTTCCTCCAACGTGGGCATCGTAAATAAACGCTGGTTACCAGGGTGATAATTCGTTTCTTTTCTTTAATCTGGAGCATCGACATAACATTCACAAACAACATTACAACAGCATTGCATCTGCCGAATTCCTCCACTTCCTTTTTTCCCTTTCTCCTGCTTTCCGGTGCGCCTCCCTTAAAGGAGCCAGAGCACAACAACCTTGTATCAGACATATTGAACGTAAATAGAAAATCTTTTTAAGTAGATTCAATAACATTTTTACGGTTATTAATTAGCAAAATATTAATTGAAATAATGAATAAAATATAAAGTTACATTGACAGCAGGTCTGCAAACGCAAACTGACTCAATACTATTAGGGCTGCATGGGCAACATCAGTTGGAGGGCTAATGCAGATTTTAGCTCCAGCCCATCAAGCACCGGCCAGCTTTAGTGGTCTTGAATACGTTGGTTAGCTTGTTTGGGTGCGTTTGATGTGCGTTATAGCAAAACTCCACAATGCTATCCCTGACAGGCCCTGCCAGAGGCATTTTAATAGGGCAGACCTTATGACTGATTTTGGACCCTCTTGTTCCTTTCATTTAGGCTATTTATTTACTTATTTGTTATTACTTTGCATTGCTGCCCAAGTTACTAGCTTAAGGCAGTATAATATATATTGTAGTAATAATAATACGCACAGTTTCATTATTACATCAATGGATTAGTGCAACGATACCGTTTATATAAATGCGACAGATCTTTCAGCGCCAAACAAGTGCTCTACATTATTTTGTTCTCCTTATTTATTTCCGTTTTATTTCAAATAATAAATGTTAAAAGTTTTAAGTAAAGACATCAAACTATGCCCACACATGCAAGCTAACCCGGTTAGACTATTCTATACCGATATAGTGAAATCAGTATAACACAAAAAATACGTTTAAAAATCAAGATTTAATATTAAATGCCATTTAATATTATTTTTAATATTAAACAATTTTTAAATTGTTTAAAAGTTTATGTAAATGCTGCGTTCAGGCTGCGTTACTTTAAAGTGTGCATTACCGAGCCTCATTCAAGCACTGCAGCAGAGAGCGTTGTCATGGAAATGGAGCAACGACACAACACGACCCCTGACCGTCAACAGCACTTCTCTCATGCGGCAGATTTCACTAATTTCAGGTAAGTTTAGTCGCTAAAATCATGCAAATGTTACATACAACTGTTTCTGACACCTTTCTTACTGACAATTGACATGTTTCAGTTGAATATGTATTTTATAGAGACGGTTGTGTCTTTGGAAAAAGTTAGTTAGCATTTTAGCAGAGGAAACGTTAGCATTAGGCTACTAGCTCTTGTTTATACAAGTTTTGGCTTTTAATTACATCTTTATGTGTACATGAGAGGTTTGTCAATGTTTTATTGGAGGTAGTCTACTTTATTTAGCCTAAAATATGCACTTTACTGTTAAGGAGAGCAAATTAAAACGTTAAAGTTAGTACACATGTGTTAACTTTACCTTACTTTGATATTTCACAGTAATGTAAACTAATGTTTATTTCAAAAAGTGCTCTGTGGTTTCAGGAGTGACAAAATTACCCCTACAACAAAATAGCAGAGCCAAGATGAAGGGAGCTGATCACAGAGATGGAGGAAACACAGGTAAGACTATAATTAACTGTTAAATAGATTCATGTGCATTTTTCATTATAAATCCCTATATTATCATGCATCTGATACATGTCTTGATTGCATTTATTTTAAGGTTTTGACATAGAAACGTAAATGAGTGGTTTTAAACAAATTTTTACTTTGCTTTTCTCAAAGCTGAATTTACAGCACCAGTGCTCCAGTCCAAAATGTAATATTGTATTTATGATTTGCTGCTGATCAAGCAATATTTCTTATTTTTATTATGTTTTATTTCAGAATTCATTAATGAATAGAAAGTTTAAATTGAACAGTATTTGAATCAAAAATCTTAACTCTTTTCTGATCAGTTTTATGCATCCTTGTTTAATAAGTATGCATTTCTTAAAAAATCTCACTGACTGCAGTAGTATACTTGACCGTTTAAGGTCTAGGGTCTATTTAACAATAAACAATAAATCCTGGAAAAAAAAGAAAATAGCTTACACAAGTATTTGCCATCACATCTGTTTTTAACATTCATTATTAGTTTTTATTCATTATTAATTCAGTCTTAAATGCTAAATCAACATCTTAGAATGATTTCTGAAGGATAAAGTGACATAAGATTTAAATAATGTTGCTGAAAATTCAGCTTTAAAGTACAGCCATGAATTACATTTTAGGATTCACATTTAAAATATATATTTTTAGGTCCCTTACACTTAAACTCATTCTTAAGCCCAAAAATTAATATAATTTTTTTGGTACATGCATGATGCACAACTCATATTCATTTATGTCATGTCTTTTTTCTCTTTTTCTTTTGTTTTCAACAGCATCTTAAAGGGGCCCAATGGTTCTAGAGCCAATCAGCTTCTGAACATATTTATATGTAAGTAAAGTTTTGACTGACTGCCAGACAGCAATGAGCAAATGACAGTGTGTGTCAGAGTGGCAGTTCTTTAAAACAAAGATCTGAAAATTGATGTAGATTTCAATTCAAAATGTATTTATTTTGAAATATTCATAATGCTTTGAGATATGTTCCCTTTATGCACTAGATGTCCAATTTTTCATTTCTTATTTTAAATGTTTGCAAACAGATCATTGCCATTCATATCTGTAAGATGATTTAGACATTCTTAGCTGCGAATAAATGTATACTTTAAGCATTTATGTAGCACTATGAAGTAATGTGGACCCAAATTGCTTTACAATCTTATCAGAGGTTTCACTTTACATGTTATTTTAAAAACTCATGTAAGCTTAATTTGCACATAAACAGCATGCACCATTAAATATTTGCTAAGGACTGTGGTGTTTTGTGCAGATCTGTTAGTAATATATATTAATGTTAATATTAATAAACTGCAACAAATTAGCCTATTAGAATGATTTTTGAAGAGTCCTCTGACACTGGAGTAATGATGCTGACAAATCAGCTTTGACCTTACATTAATAAATTACATGGTCACACTTTATTTTGCGGGTCAGTTTCTTGAATTTAAGTTACACTGTATTTACATGCCAACTAATTCTTATTAGATTATAAGTAGTCTGTTAGGTTAGGGTTGTGGTTTGGGTTAGTGTAAGTTGACATGTAGTTGCAAAGTTTCTTCTAGTCAGTTTAATGTCTGTTGAAGGAGCAGTATCAGCAGATATTAAGCAGACAGTCTACTAATACTCAGATGGACCATCAAAATAAAATGTTACCAAATACATTTTAAAATGTATTGACATTGAAAATTATTATTTTAAACTGTAAACATATTTTAGTGTTACTTAACTGTAAATGAATTTAATCAATCAAATCAATTCAGTCTTGATGTCCAATAAAAGACAATAAAAAATACAAACATTAATGTTCATAGTGACCTAGTTACTGATGCTGGACAAAAATGATGACTGATGATTCTGTTATTTCAGCATAAGAAAGAAGCCTGCTACAAGAGAGACAGCGGAAGGGAGCCTCCAAGACATTTTTATTAGGATCTGCTAATCATGAGGGGGCAGACAAAAGAAACTGCATTTTCCTTCAGCTTAATATCAGGGGCCGGCACAGCGGAAGAATCTGGATATTACTCTGGCATATGTTTTACACATCAAATGGACTCCCAGCTGCAACCCAGCACTGTGAAACACCCATACACTCTCGCATTCACAGACACTTCTACACAATGTTCAAATTCACCTACAGTATAGCGCATGTGTTTGGACTGTGGTGGAGACCCACACCAAAACAGGGAGAACATGCAAACTCCACACAGTAATGCCAACTGACCCAACCGGGACTTGAACCACCAACCTTTTTGCTGTGAGGTAACAGTCTGAGCCACTGTGCTGCCCCAGTGTAGTTCTTAATAACTTCCAGACATTTTACAGTTTGATTTTGTAATAATAATGTGTGTTTACATTTATTGTAATATGTTAATATTTATTCACAATGTAATGAATTTTTTATGTTATTTATATTAACGTTAAATGTTATATTAATGTTATAATATATTATAATAAATAATTATAATAATGTTAAATTATAAATAATAATTTAATAATGTTATAATGTTTTTTATAGTTTATTTTTATATATAATGATAAGTCTCAAAGTTCGTCTTTTTATTATATGACAAACTTATTGTTGTATGGGTAATACTTTTCAATAAGGTTGTATGTATTAGTTAATGTTAATGTATTTACTAATGTAACCAATACATTTATTACAGTATTTATTCGTCTTTGCTAATGTTGGTAAATGGTAAAAAAAAGTTGTTCATTGTTTTTCCATGTTAATTCACAATTTATAAACTAAAGTTAACAAGCATGACTTTGGATTTTATTAATGCATTAGTAAATGCTGTACATTAATTATGCTGTACAAATATTGGTGATACTTAGTTCATATTTAACCCTTTAACATTAACTAATGAAACTATTGTAAAGCGTAATTTTATGTAGTTTATATGCATTTTATATTTATTTTGTTGTATTTGTTAACGTATGTGTTTTTGAAACAATTAACCATGATCTCAGTGTTTAACGTATGCTCGTTATGTATATTAATGTTATAATGATTAAGTATTTTGTACTTGATTTAATTATTGGACAAATTAATATTAAATGCAATTGTACAGGCTAAAATAATATTTAAAAATGACCTGTGGACCGACCGTGGGCCGCCAGCTAACACTTATTTAAAACCAGCTATCCGATGGCGGATGAGCAAATTGCCGGTGGACCGCGGGCGGCGCCCGCCGGTGGACCGCCGACTTTGCCGCCGGCGGGCCGCCAGTTGGCTGGGAAGTCATCACGCTTCACGTAGCCTTACCCAACCAATATAAATGAGGAAAAGTTAAAATTTACAATCTAATGTTATTTAAAAATAAAAAAAAACCAGTAGCTATTTGAGTTACATTTAAGGCATTAGTGTAGCCAGAAAAATACCTAAAAAAGATACCTAAATTCAGTTATTACCGTGAGAATTGGTTACATTTTGGCATGGATAACACGCAGGTAACTCACCTGAGTATATAACTTTTTTTCATAATTTTGAAGGTAAAAATAAAGATTTATGTTAGGCTATAATTAGTGTGGTTTCTTGATATTGTCCGGTTGGCATTTGTAAAAACGCCATCATAAACCATTGTGTTTTATTTATGATTTTATTTATTTATTATGCCTATTATAATAGCTTGTTTTCAGGTTACATTTTCTTTATTTAGGGCCATGAGCTGTCAAAACAATGTCGATATGAGCTGGTAAAATAGGCCTTAAATATATATTTGTATGTTTCATTTAAACGCAAAAGACATTTTTAAGTGCCCTAACTTGACTGTTGCTGCATAATAGGATGTTTCTTTCACAACTATTAAAATGCGCTTTAGCTATGTCAAAATGAAAGCAAACATTTAAAAGGGTTCTGCGTTATGTCAATTTAAGTTTAATTTTAATAATGTTAATAATAATAAATATAATAAATTAAAATATTAATTATAGTGTAGACTAATGTGATAATGTGCAGTGTCCCACTAAACATTTTTATACTCCTATGAAAAAAAACTCATGTACAAATGACTGGCAGTTGCGTCTCTGCTAATATTAATTTAACGGCAAATTTCTTCTGCATTTTTTCCTTTTAGAGCTCAAGAGATTTGTATTCAAAGAATTAGTTTACCAAATCATGTAACGAGCTAGTCTTCATGTTAACTAGTACAGTTTTCTCCCGTGTGAGTTGAGTGCGCCTCTGCTGCTGGGTGTGCGCACCTGACCTGACGCGGGTACCAGATCTCACCAAATTTTTTTCTGAAGAGGCAATGGTCTTAATTTATAGTGTAGTCTAGGTTATTTAGTAAGAAATGTGTCTGTGACATGGGTCTGTATATGTGCAGTGGGGCCTGCAGTACGCACTGTACCTAACATGAGGGAGCAAATTGATGCTGGTTTTTATTTATTTATTTATTTATTCATTTATTTATTTATTACATAATTTAAACTGATAACTGATTAAACAGTGTGTGATATATTCAAAGCAAGAAAGAATGACAACAAATAAAGGTGTGCGTTTGTGTGTTTTAAAGCGTTTTTCCACATAAAAATTACCATTCAGATTACTATTGCTTAATACAAAGTTTAAAATGAGTAAATGCTCTTTAAAACAGATAAACTTAATTTAGACATTTGAGTCTAAATCTAATGAGACAAATATGATCCCCTGCACAGAGTGGAGACCATCTCATTATTAGCGCATGAGCCATGGAAATTGTCTCGTTTCATCAGACAGATTAGATCCAGCTGCTGCGCAGTAATCTCGCATGGAACCGCTACCATTCAAGGTGTTTTAAACAATTTTATTTTACAGACTGGCTTAAATAAGCAGACATCTCCATTCTTACAAGGAGTTTGAGTTTTTTCACCTTTCAACTGAGTTTGGTAATGTGGGCATGTTCAGTGCTGTTGCGAATAGGCCTATACGAACTTGTAAACGCCTGTCCTGCTTATAAATTATTTGATTAAATTAATTAAATTGTAATTGACCGGTACAACATGGAAAACAGTTTAATACAGGCTTCTCTGATACTGAATATTTCACTTTAATGTTATAACATTAATATAATATTAATGTTATTTAGGCTAGAATAATAAATTTTTTATTAATTTTTATTTATTTATTTTGACAACCGAATTAGTGATTCGGCATTGTTGAAGCATATAGCGGATTTGAAGCATCTCAAATGTTATTCGTTCTTATATTTTCTCTAGAAAATAACTGAACATAAAAATTATTGAAACAAAGAGAAAAACTATACGAAATTTGTTTAAATTTTTTTTTTTTTAAGAAAAATATATTTTTTGTTTGAGCTTGTCCACTCAGCTGTGCGGGTGTATGATTTTCAGTCAGTGGAAAGTGAGGATTTAATTAGCCTAATGCTTCACCAAATGTATTGTCTCACAATCTTTTGATATATATATATATATATATATATTTGCAATTTTAAAGATTATGTTTTGAGCGTCTGATTTTTTCTTTGGTGCTGATGTGTTTTATTACATTTAGATTTCAACGAAATATTAAAAAGGAAACGAATTATGTCATAACGAAAAAATATTGTCTTTGACAGTAAGCATCTGTGTCTTGACATGATTGGGAAAGGAGCGGGCGGTGCTGGATTTAGCATACAAAAATAGTGTTATTCCATGCGTTCAAAATAATTACAAACATCAATGTCATCTAAAGTCTAAAAATAATTAAATGTTGTAATAATATATTAAATAATGCCTAACATCTGCGTTTAGGCTGTTTAAACTTTTTCTGTCTTTTAAAACAGCAAGTTCTGCGAAAAAATCGTGCTCTCCCGTTTGCGAAGTGAAAGTGAGGTGCAGCTTATAGCAGGTGGTTCAGTAGATGCTAACTCATACACATAGACTGTATTAACAAAAATATCACAATTTTAGGTATAACATCATAAAATATGTTGATATATATTCCTGATTGTATGCAATAGAAGCTTTGAATATAAATATGATATTTTAATAGGCCATGAATGCCTGATATGGCCATTAGAATTCTGGTCAGTAAAAAAGAGTGTCAGTATATATTGACACTCTCTTTATATCACATTTCTAACATAATAGTTTTAATAACTATTTTAATACTAGATATTTTTAATATATCAGCTTAAAGTGCACTTTAAAAACTTAACTATAGGTTAATGTATAGGGTAAAGTTATGGTAGGATTAATTAGGCAAGTCATTTTATATATTGATTTGTTACAATAAAATAAAAGCTCAAGGAGGCAATTATTGACCCTAAAATGTTTTTTTTAAACATGATTTCGTTGTATTGTCGTTTATTTAAAATATTTTAGCAGTCAGTTATTTTAAAGAGAAATAAAAAAAATTACAGTCATTGTAGCAGACTAAGACAACAATCTGATTATGCAGTAAGGAGCCCCGCCTTCACTCGTTGAGCTCACGCAATTTGCACTAAACACCTGTGTCTTTTAAAAAAAGGTTTGCTTGCTGTTTATGCTCTTCAGGATCGTTGCATTTTTGCTGTTTTTTTTGTGTTCCATTTTGATGCTCTTTGATGTAGGACAAAAAGGCAAATTTCTAAAACAAGTGGTTATTGTAACTTTTTAAATAAAACATTTAGAATTGTTTTGTAATCTTTAATTAATGCATTGGATACAAAACTGCTATTTAAATTTAAACGTTTGACTGGACCGTCGTTAATCTTAATTTTAAATTATTAAATAAAATTTGGCCACTGGTAATTTTGCGAATGAATAAATAAATAGGCGTCACGGTGGCGCAGCACAATTCGGACAGCTAGATGGTCGCTGGTCGACAGATCAGAATTGGGTCAGTTGGCATTTCTGTGTGGAGATGCATGTTTTTTTTTTCGTGTTGGCGTGGGTTTCCGGATGCTCCGTTTTACCCCACAAGCAACACATTCTCACTCCCAACTCGTCATATACTGACGCTTGGTCAGGAACCCTCGGCGTAAGTTATTGACGCACAGGGTACCCCTTTAGCGTCATATTTAGACGTGCAGGGATTCCCTATAGAATCTGTGCCTGAGCCTGAGGCGTCATAGGGAGACGCTGGAGGCTCGTATAATTACCAATAGATGTCAACGCAATTTTTAAAACCTGATTTACGCCTATTATCTTAGTTTTCTTTTTTTAAAAATATGTAATTTTTATTTTGTTCACGAAAAGCGTCTGTAAACTGGGTCGAAACTACTGTATGAATAAACTTCGGTCCACGTGACATCCCTTCACGGTGAGTTTAACGCCGCTCTGCTATTGGTCAAACTGCATCAGCGGTGAGTTCTCAGATGAGTTCAACTGTCAACATTAAATATTACGTTAATGCTGCATAATGTATTTTTATTGGAGATTAGTTGGTGTTTATAAATATGTTATCATTTACTTTATATTTAATGAGTGAAAATATATTCGGTTGTCCAGTTTAGGGTAACTATGTCTAATAAAACTTTGATTCATTCATATTATTTATTATTTTTTTACTTTAAAAAATATTACATTTCAAGTAATAAGTTTAAAAATGTTTTCGGCTGATCTTTTTCATTTTAAATTATTTATTGAAGTTGGGGTCATTGTATGTGGCGATCTATTTTTTACAGTCTATGCTCGCTATCCCAAGGTTCATTGCGATCCCAAGCTTCACTGCGGTTTTCCACAAGGTAAGTAAAAAGTAAACAAATAAAGACGATTTGTTGATAAAGCATGTACTGTAAACTAGCGACGTTATCTAATTACATCAAGTTCATTTATTAAAAACATATTTTTGTCACATAT